AGGGCTAACCCTTTGCCCCCATCATATGAATCCTACCTATGCCTGATCTTTTGTCTAGGTTTCCCTTTACCTTCCTTTTCTGTCTGGCAAATGATTACTCATCCCGTGACACTCAAGGAAAACACCACCCCCTCTGTGAAACCCCCCTGACTGCTCCAGGCAGAGTTGATCTGCCTTTCTTTGGCCACCACTGCATTTCATACATAACACCAGCACAGCTGTGTTATCATTTTTTGAGTCAAAGCCTCACTCTGTCACCCAGACTGGAGTGCAGTGGCACGCTCACAGACACCACAGCCTCAGCCTCCTGGGCTCAAGCAATCCTTCCACCTCAGTCGTCCCAGTAGCTGGAACTATAGGCATGTGCCACCATGCCTGGCTACTTTTTCTTGATTTAATGTAGAGACTTCATCTCACCAGGCTGCCCAGGCTGGTCTCGAACCCCTGATCTCAGGCAATCCTCCCACCTCCACCTCCGAAAGTGCTAGCATTACAGGCGTGAGCCACCGCACCAGGCACAGCTGTCTTATTAATTGGAATCAAGGTTAGCTGTGTATGACCAGCTTGACTACCTGTGCACCCCAGTACCTAGCACTATGATAGACTTATAAGTTGTGCCTGGCAACTGTTTGCTGATCTAAATAGAATGTGCTTACCCTCTGACCTTTGCTTCTCCATTCCAGGAGGATGGGCTCGTGGCCAGATAGCACAAACTCCAGGTGTTCTCAAAACAGCCAGAGATAAAAGCCGCTATTCCTCATGGGGGCAGGTCTACAGATGGCTGTGACAGGTGGCATGTGTGTCGGGAAGGGTTTGTGGGGGATCCTGAACACTACCCCAGGGCAAGGGGAGGCCCAGGCTCACAGGGCTCTGGCAAGTCTCCAACAGCCAACAGGGCAGTTCCAACCTTCAGGAACACCGGCGGGGGTGAGGGGGGAGGAACACCTAGTCCAGGGAAGTCCCCCAAACCAACCACACCTCCACGGGTTCCCTCAGGCTGGCAGCTTCTGCCCCAGGCACCCGCCGTCTGTGCCCTGGAACAAAGGCTCTCAGTGGCTCTCCCACAGGCAAGTCAGGGCAGGCCTGAGCTGTTGAAATGCTTCAAGGACAGGTGCATACACCTTCCTGGATCCAAATTCGGCTTTAGTCAGTGGGAAAGGGTGGAGGAGTATCTATGGGGCTTTCCAACGGCTGATTTTTTTTATCAGAAAAGATGCCTCAGGCACTCTATCATCTTCAAAAGGAAAACAAAAAGCATTAACTCGACATTACTTTCTAATAGACTCTAATGCTTTTGCTTTTCTAGTGGTTATGCAGGGGGCAAGAAACACGGGCAGCAGTGAGGAGGAGGAAACGCCAGGCCTGTGAATCAGCAGATGTGAGTAGCTCAGCCACTGCCAGTCCCGTGGGCCTCCTTCTTCCTAAGTGTCAATCTCTTAGGACTTTGGTTTCCTCATCTGTATCATAGGGATAACAGTAGTACTACAGGCATGTGTCACCATGTCCAACTAATTTTTTAAAATTTGTTTTGTAGAGATGGGGTCTTGCTATGTTGGCCAGGTTGGTCTCAACTCCTGGGCTCAAGCAATCCTCCTGTCTCGGCCTCCCAAAGCACCGGGATTACAGGCGTGAGCCCTCACACCTAACTATTACTCATGCTTTTTGTAAATTCAAGGAGTTGACAGAAGCTGGGAACAGTCACCTTACCACAGGTCTGCAGCAGTTCAGAATTGATCATACCACCAATATCATCAGAGCTTCCCACTCCCACCAAATCAATCTAAGGAGATCTGGAGGACAGAATGTCATTTGGAGAGATGATGTCTGATAATCACAGAGACAGGATATCTCCCTCCCGTCACTGGGGAGCCAAGGCGGTGGGGTCCTTGAGTTCCTGGAAGTCCAAGGAGTAAGGATGCTGAGAGAATCTCTCTACATGGAGGGCTGGCAAGAAGCAGGCCCAAGCCATGTGCAATGGCTCATGCCTATAATTCCAGTACTTTGGGAGGCAGAGGCGAAAGAAATGCCTGAGCTCAGTCTGGGCAATCTGGTGAGACCTCATCTCTACAGTAAATCAAAAAATGAGCCAGGTGTGGTGGCACATGCCTGTAGTGCCAGCTACTTGAAAGGCTGAGGTGGAAGAACCACCTGAGCCCAGCAGGTCAAGGCTGTGGTGGCTGTGAGTGTGCCACTGCACTCCAGCCTGGGAGACAGAGGGAGATTCCAACTCAAAAAATAAAAAATAAAAAAAGAAGAAGAAGCAGGCCTGGCATTCTAGCCCCAGAAAGGACACATGCATAGCAGACTTGGCCGATGTACTCTTGGCTACCTGAGTGGGAAAAAGAGCTAAGAAAGGCCGTGTGGGGAGGGTCCTGTGGGTGACAGGAGGATCTGAGGGTCCACACACTGCAAGTGGGAAATGGAGGTCACGCATTCCCGCAGGATCTGTGGCAGGTTTCGGCAGGACTGCGAGAGCTGGCCAGGCCTCTCAGAAGACCACCAGTGCCCCAGAGCAGCACAGGAGTGAATCCTGGTAGGCAGGGCACACTAAGACCACCCACTGCTCGGGACAAAGGCAATGACAGTCACTGTAGAGGAGGTCAGCAGCCTCACCAGCAGCAGAACTCTGCCTCTTCTATGCTGCCCAATCCTGGAGGCTCAGGCACAAGAACCAGGGAAGGGGAGAGAAAAGAGTCAAGCCACCATGCCCCACCGCCCTTCCATCTTCTAAAGCCACTTGCACTGGAGGGAAGAGGGGACAGAGTTTTGAGTAGAGTTCGAGATTGAAGTTTAAAACTAAGCCAACCTGAGTCATAAGTATGGACAGAAAACTGTTTTAATAACTGAATGAAACTAAAGAGTTGTGGATACCGGCCAAAATGTCATTGAGTCTCAACTCAGCAGGAAAGATGGGGATTCAGCATCTGCCATCGAGGCAGTAATCAGTTGCAATACCATGACCCCTGCATAGTTACAACCCAGTGACTGGACAAGGTGGCGCACCGGTCATCACATGCTCTTCACGCTCAGACTCATAGGGGTCCTCCCAGCACCAACAGGGCTGAGGGCTGAGTATCCCCTGCATGACGTGCCTCCATGGGCCACAACATCCTCTGAAACAACGTTCTGGGGAACAGAGTTCTAAGTCTGACTCCTTTCACCTTTGTGTGACATGCCTCGACATCACCCCTCTGCGGTCCCAGAGGACACCATGAACACGGGCTCAGAAATCACACAGACCTGGGTGCAAATCCTGGTTCTGCCACTCTCTGACTGCATGCCTCAAGGATGTCACTTAGCTTCTTTAAGGCAAAGTTCCCTCATCTACCAACAGAGGCTGTTCAAAACTCCAGCTCTGGTTGTGAGAACTGGAGCCGCTACGGATAATGTCCTTAAAAGCACAATTGGTATTTATTCATTCAACAAATACTTATTGCATAGAATCTCTATGCCTTAGGGTACAGAGAGAGCAGGCGTTTGGGGAAACAAATGAGGGTATGGGTGGCAAAGTGGTCAGGGGTCACTCCAGGTCAGGTAGAAAGAATCAGGCCCATAGAACCTGCGTCCCAAGAGATTTTCTGCTGAGCACACCTCTATTACCATCCCTGCTGTTGCTGGGGGGGACACAGGCCTGTCCCTGAGGCCCAATCACTCCCAGGAATCAAGAGGGGCATGTCCTGCCACCTGCTGACCAGCATAGAACTCTCTACCAGGAGGAAATCATGTGTTCGTGGGCCTGGAAATTTGCATCTTCCCACCACCACCAACCCCCCACACCCCATGTGTACTCCACATGTCAGTCGCCCTGCTCTCATTCCCATGGATGAGGGCCCACACCCAGGGGAGGGGAACCCTCTGGGATCAGGGCTGACCACATTACATCTGCTTCTGAGACCTCTGGAAGCAGTATGACCACGCCCAGCCAAGGACAGGCCCAGCACATTAGAGTTCCCAATTGGGAAGGCTAGCAGTCCCACTCTGAGACACGTCATACCCACGAGGTCCTTTATACCACCCACCCTGAATCCCAGAAGAAACTACAGCTCAGAAACACAGCCAGGAAACCCAAACTTTCACCAAGACAAGGAACAGGTCCCAAGTGGAATCCATCATATCTACAAACTTACCTGCTCCATGTGGCCACTGCCTTCCTCAGTGCACCCCTCTGCCCTACCCTGATCACCACCGGGGTCCATGCTAACAGGTGTCCTTTCAAGAAGCAGCCTTACTAGGGAAGGGTGGTTGTCACTTGAAGCCCAAACTGCTTTACCTGTTCAGGAAAAACTGGGAGGCAGGTGCAGCCAAAGCACTTGGGAGGAGGCCTGGGCCTATGGCAGCCCTAGGCTGGCAGCTGCTTGTGTTTACAAACAGGAGGGAGTGTAAAAGTTTCCAGACTGAGCTGTTGCCTCAGGAGGCTGGGAACTCGGACTAGCCGACTCCAGACCAATCCCTAACTTAACTGCAAAACAGGGGCAAACGCTAACGTGCTCACTGGTCACCAAATTTAAGTGAATTAAAAACTAATCAGGAAGTAAAAATGTAGCACTGCATGAATAAATCACAAGATTTTTTGTTTGTTTGTTTAGGGCTGCTTCATCTAATAAGAGATAAGGATTAAGTGACTTTCCCTGGGAGATGCTCATTTTCATATGTTCTGTGGCTAAGTGTCCTCTCTCCCATGGATAAGGTCTGACTTGATAATTAGCTGAATCTCCACCCAGGTGAATCAAGTCAGCATTGTTTAAGTGAGGCCTTCTCAAATCACAGCGGGTCTTGCAATCACAGCTGGTCTGGCTGAATCTGCATTCTTGGAGCGATTCTTTGGGTTGTCATAAAGTTGGCATCCTCAAGTAGAAGCAAGCATTCAGCTGCCCTAAGGAAAGTCAAACCAGAAGAGACCACCAGCATCCCCTGTCTTCTTGGTACTAATATGACCCATAAGTAACAAGTGGGCATTTCTTATGCTGAGAGGCAGCTTCATGACAAGTGCTCTAACTCACCTTCTGCAGACAGCCCCTGGATGTTTATCCCTTTAGCTGCCAGGAAATTCAAGCAGGCATCTATGTTTTCAATCTAGAGGGGAAAAAAAAAACACAATATACACTTAATAATATCCAGCCTCTTCCAAAGTCATCTCTTGTTAGAAACAAAAGGCAAAGAGAATGCTATAAAGTCGGCCAGTGGCTGGATGGACACAGGTTGGGACAGCCCTCTGTCCCTACTTGCACAGGAAAAGGTTACCTAATATCCCAACTACACAGTGCCAAAAGTCAAGCCTTGGATTGTTCACAGCCGCCAAAAATAACCAGGGTGGAATTGGAGCTCTCATCTGATCTCTGTCACCAGCGCAATCCTGAAATCTTGAGCAGTGGCCAGAAGAATGGAGGTGGGGACGAGGTTAGTGGACACACCCATCGCCCAGCAGCTGCGAGAAATTTCCAGTCACCAGAGAGGCAGGCAGTCAGATTTACACACAGTAAATAGGAGTTTTAACAGGAATTTTGTTTATCCACGACATTATCAGAAGGGCAGGCATTGCAGATGACCAGGGAGGGCTGTGACCTCCCCAACCCCTCTGTCCTTTGCGCTCTCTGTAGCAAAAAGGGGTCTGCCAGCTAGCTGAAGTGTGGGAGGCCTCCCAGGTTAGTCAGGGCTGATCTCACTGCCAAGGACAAGTCAATGTCCAGCCCTCATGAACAAACCGTCAGGTCATTCCCAAGGGTCTAATTTGACTTCAGTTGTCAGGGCTAATTATTTTTGGTTTAAAGGAAAATGTTCTGGTTTGATTAATGTCAATGGTGACCACAAGTAAAAGCAATTGCTTTCGACTTGGCATGAGGATCTTTGAATTTCACACAATTTGCACCTCACAATGGGGACGCCACTCACTCCATCCCACTTCGCATGACTTCCAGGGTCCATCAACATTCTTATGAACTCAAACTAGCATTTAACCCATAGAGTATATCCTGAACTAAGAAATGATTGTCTTTAGCAGTATACGGGTGACCATTCTCTGTCCCCATCCCAAGCAATTTCCTGAAGCTCCTTCACAGTCATAGAAAGCATGAACAATCTACATATCAAGAGTTCTTTGAAGAGAGTCTTCAAGACAGTCTTTCTGAAGTTCATGTCCATTCTCCCCCTGATGTTCAGACTTTCCCTCTTCTGATGATAGTCTTCTCATCTCCCGAATGCTTCAAATTAAGCTACGAGACACCTAAATAGAACCACAGCCATGTTCTAGAATCTACTCAACCTTGAGCTTGAAGTGACTCCATCCTTCCATTTTTAGCACAGGTTCCTACCTCCCTTTCAACCTCCAACCCACCTTAAGGGTCTGCATCTTGGAGACATTCTCTCATCCCTTAAAAAGGGGCCAGAATGCAATTTCCTACACAGTGAATAAGTGTTGATGCTATGGGTGATGCCTGCCACCAGAGCAGAGAACCATTCCTTCTACAGGCAAAGGAAAAGGAAGACTTCTCTTCATCTCTCCTTTCCTCTGTCCAGCCAGGGCGATGAGTGACAGTCAAGGGCTATCATCTACGAAGGAGAAGGGAGGGGGAAGAAAAGAAGAGAATGGTTGGCAGTACCCAGTGCGGGCAGCAATCTGCTCCCATGTGTAAGAGTAGTAAAAGTCACACCTCTACATGCTGTTTCACCATACTTTGAAACCTTGCTTCAGAGAGAACATGCTGTCAGCCCTTATTTCTACTGCTGTATATAGTAGTAATACCCCCAAACCACTCAAAAGGATTTGTTGCCCCCCAAAAGAGACACTGGCATTTAAATCATGATAAAATTATATAATTCCTCTCCTAAAATCCTGTCCTATTTCGTTCACATAATATCTTGTGTGTGGCTAATAAGAGGGGCTTTGGCAATTATGTCCCCATGGAAAATGAGTGGAAAAAAAGGTGACTTGTCTTGAATCTCTGTCATTGCAAAACCAAAAATAATATACTTGTTTTTTATCCTGGGAAGGGTCATGGAGGCGGGCTGGTAAGGTCAGTTAAGCTTCTTCAGCAATAGTACAGTGTCTGAAGGAAAGATGCCCCCAACACATTCAAGAAAGGATTGTTCAACTACAACACTGAACTTCTACAGGAAGGAGTGCAAAGCACATTTACTTGTCATATTTATGGAGCATTCAATGCACACAACATCATTTAAAGTACACAATAGTGTCTTTTGCAAGGCTATCCTTGATCCATTTCAATTCAGCCATCTGCTGGGCTTTCTTTGAACATCACATTCTATTAAAAATGAGTAATTATAAAAAAAGTTACCAGAATACTTCTTTCTCCTTTGTTAACTTTTTAAAGTACTGCCATTTTTTTTCATAGGATTTCATCATTTTGATCAGTAATTCTCCATTGGTTAAGGAGGAAGGGTTGAAGTAAAAGAACAATTTATCAACATCTGGTAACACTTTGGGCTGACACAAAGTATGGGGGGGTGCCACTAATATCCAGTAGGTAGAGGCAAAACATTCTACAATGCACAGGATAGCCCCTCACAGCAAGGAATTATCCAAAGTGTCAACAGTGCTGAGGTTGAGAAGCCCTGAGTTATATGATTCTTTCAAGCATTCATTCAATCAATATCATGGTACAAATGTGCGGGCACTGGGCATGAGTCTTTTAATGGTGTTGGTCTATTATGTGATGGAGAAAGTGAGGTAAGGAAGTCTGATTTTTGACCAAGATTACATAGTTCAATGTCAATAGCTTGGCTGGAGAAGACCCAGGTGGTCCTCCTGTCTGTGATAGGAGGCTGCATTTACATAACCCTTCTCTTGGGTCTACAGAGCCATCGACACCCCCCCATTCCTGTTCATCTCAGGAAGAACCAGAGCACATAAACAAGGAAGCATTAGGCTCTTCCTTGATTAGGGTGAAAGAGGAATCTGAGGGCACCAGGAATATTTTATTCTAAAGAGATGAAATACGGGCAGCGATATTGAGATGGCTAGACTGTACTTCCAGAACGCGTTAAAACTAAGAACTTGGTGATTATTTAAAAGACCATTCATGAACCCATCAAGTGCCTTGAATTTTTCCCCTCTACTATGAGTTTTCTGTTCACAGAAGGAGTTCAAAAAACATTCCTCAAGTCTCAAACCCACTCTTTAATAATGTTCCATTAAGGTTAAAAATCACTCCTGACAAGGCGGCCGAGACCCACGCTCTTTCATCTGCACCCCAGGAGGAGAGCCGGGCTGGGAAGCAGGCTGGGGTCAGATGTGGATTCCAAACCTCCTGGCTCCATCTGGAAGGAGATCAGAAGGGGAGACTGTTTCTTTGATCCAGGCCCTCTTGTGATTAAAATTCACCTTAAGCTTTTCTTCTAAATATTGTACAGGTAAACACAATCCATCCTCATGTACTGTTGAAACTGCCAACTCCTACCCCGTCCTGAGAGGGGACCGGCCCCAGCAGCAGCACCCAGGACCTTGTGCTCTAATGAGTACAAGGGTGTCCTTGTGCCCATCTTTAATGAGGCTCGTGGCTCATGTGTGATCCAGACACACAGCGTGAGATGAGGATCCGATTAAAGTTGGAAGGCAGAACAACAGAAAAGATGCTTAAACGGCAAAGTATGTAAATATGACCAAAGTTGTTCATTAACATGTAGCAACCAATATAAACTACTTTCCAAAATCAGATGAAAAAAATCTGTGCAAAGTCTGACATTCCAGGGTCTCTGCGGCAAGGAGAGGGCAGGACTGGGTGAGAAACTACTGTAGTTATTGCCATAGAAATGGGTCCAAGAGTTCTAAGATTGAGTTGCTGGAGTTTGCAGGATTAGCTGGGGTGAGAAGCCCAAAAGAGGAACCACCACATGGCTTGGAGACCCCAGGAGCAGAGAGGTGCTGGATGGAGAAAGAGGGCAGATCAAGACTGGACTTCCCAGAATTCCCTTTGCTGGGGGCCAAATGTGGCCCCCTACCTTGTACAGTCCATGAGCATCCAGGAGAGAGGTGGCAATTGGGCCCTCCATGGAGTGCACAGTTCCTCAACAGTCTCTGAACTTCATACGTTCAGGGCAACTGCCAAGGGCTGTGTATGTTACAGCCTTTGTCTCCTGTATCCAGAAATACAGCCCCACCTGGGATAGCCAGAGAGCTAGAAAATCAAAACAAGTGCCAAACAACTAGAGAGAGAATGGGAGATGGGAAGCAAATGGGAAACTTCACATTTCAATCGTGATTAAGGCTGGACTGGGTTACCTGATCATGTAAAATTTGCAAACCTCGGAAGCACTGCGTACATCTCCTTGTAGCTTGGAGACTGATCAAATACCATCTGTTGTGGCAGTTGTCATGGCAGCATTTTTCTCTGAATACCAGTGTAGCTGAGTGCAGAGCGCATTAAAATGATTAATGCAAACGAAGACCATCTCTGTGGGCGCTACCGCAGCCCAGGGAAGATGATATTCTGAGCATACCAAGTAAACGGAGCGCTAGTGTCTAGAGTTAACACTTTCTCACCAGGCCTGTTGGAGTTCTCCAGTCCAGGAAGAGAGGCAAACAAGTGCTGTATTGAAGTAGGCACAGCCACAGTCATTTTTGTAAACCACGAAATGCATCAAGCCCAGGTTAAGTGAGAACTTGCAGGTTCTGGCAACGCGGAAAGCACACTGTAGCATTGCAATGAAACTCATGTCAGCTCAAACAACTTCCATCCGGAAGTGTATGCGACCCTCACACCTGACATTGCTACTTGCCATCAAAAATAATTGTCAGCTGCGGGTGGTGGCTCACGCGTATAATCTCAGCACTTTGGGAGGCTGAGGTGGGAGGATGTTTGAGCCCAGGAGCTCAAGACCAGCCTGAGGAACATAGTAAGATCTCATCTCTACAAACAAAAAACAAAACAAAACAAAAAAATAAGCTGGGCATGGTGGTATGCACCTGTAGTCACAGATACTTGGGAGGCTGAGGCAGAAGGATCAGTTGAGTCCAGAAAGCCAAGGCTGCATGTGAGCCATGACTGTGCCACTGCACTCCAGCTTGCGCGACAGAGTGAGACCTTGACTCCAAAAAAAAAATCATCATGCATTTATTT